GAGAGAGAGAGAGAGAGAGCCACATGATAGGATACAGTAGATCATGATATGAACCCCCATGTGGTTCTCACATAAAGAAAAAAAAAAAATCAATGTACCATAACTATAATATTACCACCTCTCTGTCTCGCCCTCTCTGTCTTTGAGGGAGTGCATGTACTGCACATGTTTCCAAATTAATTTTGTTTACAGCGTCAGACAAACCCGAGGATGTGTGAATGTCATCCACGCCTCCGTGTAATCACTGCAGTGAAGGAGTGATGACAGTTGAAGTGGCTGAGAGCAGAGAAAGTGAGAGAATCCACAGATTTCCTTGTCATTTACTGACAAAGCTAAAGTGGCCCCACTTAACTGGTCAAAGGCCATAAATGCATTAACAATCCTCTTTGCATTAACAGGGAGCTTCTCGTGCAAACAGAACCACAACAGCAATCATGAGAGGCAGTTTATTGATGATGAGCCTACAGCTGCTGTTTAATGCCATGAAACAGATGCAGTGCAGCTCTCTGAGAGTGGAAAAGAAATATAAAACATCAGCAATTTAAACCCCTGGCAAATGTTGTTGTTGTGTGTGAAGAGAGGTGAATGAGTGTTATATTACAACATCTAACTAACTAACATATTTGCCTTCAAGGGCATTGAGAATATTGTACAGATTAAAAATGTCTCATTAATTGTAAGATATTTAGTGAATAGTACTTGGAAGGCAGATTTGGTGCGATGATACCTGAGAAAAATGATGTGAAAAAGTGTGGGCGTTTTCAAAAACCGATCCTGATTGAGATAGTCCATCACTTTTTTTTCAGGGTAATAAAAGCAACACTTGTAAGTAATTAAATGGATTGTCTCCAACCTCCAAGACCTGCTGATATGTGTAAGGATGAACACTAAAGTCAGTGGAAAATCTTTTGACATCAAGGCACCTAAACCGCCCTTCACAGGCTGCACTGTTCTACTTTTTGAAATCAAAAATGTATGTTTTAACTGGATTTTAACTGTGTCTCAGTTTTCATTCAGTATTTTAATGTGATTTCTTTTTCAGCAATGCCCAGTTTTACATCTGCACAATTACAGATCAGAGGCAGAAGAACTACTCAGATATCTATCCAGTTTTAAAGAACGTGATCAGGATCTGCACTTAACATTAAAATTAAAAATTAAACAAGAAAATTTTTGGCACTGGAGAAACTGCCCACCTGGATCTTCAGTTTTTGGTTATGGCTGAATTGGAGCAAAAGCTGTGACAATGAGCCTGTATGCACTAAATTAGGACCCTGACTCACGCTGGCTCACCAAAGTTTTTTCTGACATGCTAAAATGTCTGCTGTGGAAAAGGGACTGTTTTTTGTCCATATATACAGTGGCACAGTTCTGTAAAAAGAAGCTGATCATTGAAGGCTGAGGAATATGTCATGATGTATGAGATGAGTGAATTATTATTAAGCTATTTCTAAATCACTGCAAAAAAACAAATTAAAAAAAACACGTGTTAAACTTCCCAAATTACACAAGATATCTTGCATTTAACAAATTATGTAAAATGACATGTACTTTTATTAATACATTTGTGCCTTTAAAAATGTTGGAAAATGAAAAGAAAAAATAAGAATTCATTTTTTACATCTATCTTTAAAACCAAATACTTTGGAACTTCTTTTTACTCTTCCCTATAAAGCACTTAATCGTGAGAATGTTTAAACGTGGGATTGTTTTGGTAAATTGGAAGTGATCTAACTTGTGACGGATCCATATTTTTGTGCCGATTGTATTGATGCAAGTGTCAATACTCAGAACCAGTACTGGACTTTAGGAATCAATCAGTCCATTTTCACAAGTAAAAGCAGCAGTGACAGACAAAAAAAGAAGCCCCTGTGGTGCCTTTATGACCTACGCATATCATTATACCATCTGCACAATATAGAAAAAAACATTTCGAGGACTTTCCTCTCTTTTTATTCTTTTAGTTTCACATCTTACAGAATTTTTTTTAAATTGATTTTTTGTCCAGTCTAATGTGTAACCCTCCATACAACTCTCATGTAAATATTAAAGAAAATTGTGCAAATTTGTATAATCGTAAAAAAAAAACAACAAAACTTTTTTGTACTGTGAAAATGTCGCATAAAACGACCTCAAAATTATGTATTAAGAATAATAAGACCGCTATGATCTAAGAATAGACCTCAAACAATCAAATAAACAAAAACAGGGGTCCTACCACTGCGGTCCTGAAACTGCGGCCTCCTCTGCCGGACGATCTTCCTATCCGCCGGGGGGCGCTCTGATTTCTGCCGCCACACTTTGACCTTAGCGGGACACCGTCAGTCTCTTCCGGGTCCGCTTTGACTCGCAAGGGTAGAATATGAATCTATGAAGTCGTAATTTATGTACATAGCCACGTTTTCCCGCCAACGTGGAAAACTGTATTCGTATTTTTGCTTTTACAAGCTTTGTTTTAGCTCGTTGCCGCTGAAGCCGCCGGTGGTTTAGCTCTTCGTGTTAGCCGAACATGTCTGCGGAGGAAGCGGACAAAACGACCACCACTGATGCCAGCGCTGGAGATGAGGAGGAGGAATGGCTGTATGGAGGTAAAAAAACACCTGTCCGCAAATTAAATTTCTCCTCACCGGGAGAGACATGAATCAGGGTGCCAGCTGCTCCGCTAATGAGCTGCTAACCAGCACATAACACAGTCTGCTGTGGAGCGTTAGCCTTGAAGCTAAGCTAGCAGCGCCTGCTTGGTTTGCTCTTGTCGGCCTCTTGCAGCAGAACGACTCGAAGCAAAGAATTTAAACACTATTCTGGCATATTGTAATGTAATATCCGGTCTATGAGTTGGTCAGTGCTATTATTTTTGTCCACCTCTATTAAGCTGGACTGAACAATGAATTGAGATATGCCCGAATTCACAATGCGACAAAGCGCAATATCCCAAAAAAATGATTATTATTATTTTATTTTTTTTTAAATAAAAGGTAGCACAACATGCCATTATAAACGAAGCATAATGGTGCTACAGAGATGCCCTGGCCTGCAAATCATATTCTCCAGACTTAAGTGAACATGATTGTTCAGTATAGATCTAAACATAAGTCGCATGATCATTTTTATGTTTTTTTTTTTTTTTTTTTTAAAAGGGAACTACATGTAAAAAAAGAAATGCCTTTGCTAATATAAAATATTTGCAGATATAGTATGGATTTGTTTGCCTTTTGTTATTGTTCAGCTTTAAATGTTAAGTTAGGGTTTGATCGTAAGTTAGATATTACCAGCTGATTGCCTCCAGTGCCAGAATATCTCTTAAGTTTTTTGCATTTACTTTTGCTTCAGATGAGTCGGAGAGTAAAGATGAAGATGAAGAAGCCAAATTGAACGCAGCAGTCAGGTAACTAACATATCCATCCAATATCCACCAACACGAACACCTTGGATTACGTACGTTATCTGTGTACCTAAGAAAACTTCAAGAAGACACCTGTGCACATCCAAAGAAGAAGATCTATTTGGATAAAAACTGTTTTAGAGATGCAGAGCCACAGGTAGCAAAGATAGAAAGATACAGCGATGCAGTGTGATACAACAACCCTGCAATGAATCCTACCATCACAAAGATAGGATCAGGTAGTTTATATAGAAATCAAAAACACCTCTCAGTTATGTATGTGTCTTTAAAATTACTAAAACTGAAAATGGGAAAATCTGCAATATGCAAAATCTGAGTGCAAGGTTTTTTTCAGGGCTGGTATTGTAAATTTAGTGAGGCACACCTAACATACAAATGCATAAGGTGGCCAGTAATCCTAATTATTTTTACATTTTATATTTGGATCAGAAAAGTGAAACACATTAAAAATGTTTGCCAGGAAAAAAGTGAAAAATTCTACTTTTCTATCAAACAATTTCCAACAGAGCAGGAGACAAATAGATGAATAAGTGAATTGGGATATCCAAATGCAGATCTTGATTGAAAACACATTTCATATCTAGATGCTAAACACTATTAAAGAATTGGGAAACATTTTCACACAGGGTTTGGAAGATCAATTTCCCATTTATTGACATAAATACTGAAAATAGGTGATCTTACCATGTGTATTTTTCAATGTTGCAGACTTGTTTCCAATGAAACTTTATCCTAAGAGAAAAGTTTTTTTTTTCAGTGTTTATCATGATATTTATACAACTCTTGACTAGTTTATTAATTTCCCTGTTTCTTGTGGACATGTAAAATATTTGGTTCTATCTGTAATTTAAAGAAATGTAATGTCTTGTGTTTCGTTTTTTTCTGCAGTGCACCTGCTGATGTTTCAGCAGACGATGCTGCTGCACACGCTACAGGAAATGGAGTTGCCTCTGAGGTAGATCTCTTACATGCGCACAGTCTTGAGATGCAAGATAAGATAGAACTTTATTAATCCCAAAGAAAAATCTTGTATGGTGAAGTGCGCCTTTTGGCCTGTTTAATGTTTGTTTATGTACCTACCCCCTCTCACAGTTTTCAAAGAAAGGCAACATTCATGATTGTCATGCAAATCATCTTTTTTTCTGCACTTTCAGGCCACAGGCGAAGCTGCAGGGGAGGATGTGGACAGTGACAGCGACAGTGATGACGACGACGATGACGTCCGCGTCACCATTGGTGACATAAAAACTGGAGCCCCACAATACACGTAGGTTTCAGTCATGTTGTGGTGTTTTATAGATGATAACAGTTACTGGCTACTTTTAATACACTACTGGGTGGATGTTTCAGGATATGGGATCTGCAGCTGCTGTAAAAAGATGTAAATAATATGTTTAATGTTAGTTATAAAGATGGAGAGGAGAGACCGAGTATATTTACCTCTAGATGCTACTACATGTTTTATTTGTTTCTGCTCACTATTGCCAAGTTTTTGGTTGATTTATCCCTGTTTCTACCCTTCCAACAGTCTGAGAAAAAATTGGGTTGAGACTTCAGTATGAACCAGTGTTCTGCAAAGATTACTTGGTAATATGAGGAGTTTACAGATACACTCTTAAACAGTATAGGGGGGCTATCCTGGTAATATAAAAATAAATATCATATTTAATATTTAAGAGTTTAAAATCCAGATTTAATGGTTGTGATGCGTCATGCTCCACATCTGGAGCAGTGGACACTGTTACAAAGCAACACTAAACATTATAGCCCTCGAGGCACATTATTGCTCCACAGTCTCCCTTTTGTTTACATCTGCTTCCCCATGAGATCATGTGAGTAGTCCTGTAGTATGTGCATGTCTGAGATTAGAGACAAGAGTATCTGTGAAGTCCTGATTATAGTTCATGATGCAACCCAATTTAAAAATCTGTTAGAAATTTAAAACTGCTTTTAAAACTATCTCTATATAGTTCAAATAAAGTTGATACCACAATAAAGTAAACCAGCTCTTTAAAATTTCAGACCCTTTGACTTTTTGTACACTTCATTGTGCTGTATATCTAATTTTAGTTGGATAAAATGTATAAAAAAAATAAAAAAGAACTGAAGCATATGAGACGAATATGATCACTGCTTTTCCGAGGTGATGTTGTGATGTTGCTCAGAGTTTTAATGTACTTTATTTCTCTCCGCAGACCTTATGGAGCTCCACCTGTCAACCTCAACATAAAGACAACAGGCTCCAGACCCTATGGACAAGGTGTTGCTTTCTATTAGTTCAATCTGATATCATTTTATTTGCCTGAAAACCGCACAAGAAACCATAACTATATCCTGCTTTTTTGTTATTGGGAAAATATCCTACATGTGGTGCTGTTTGTTGTCGGTAGCCTCAAAGATGAAGGGAGTGGATCTGGATGCCCCTGGAAACATTAATGGCGTTCCAGTGCTGGAGGCGGACATGGAGTCCTTTGAAGAGAAACCCTGGAGGAAGCCAGGTAGGTGTGTGTGTGTGTGTGTGTGTGTGTGTGTGTGTGTGTGTGTGTGTGTGTGTGTGTGTGTGTCTTTCTTTTTTAGTCATGTCATGTTAAGCAGAAGCTTTAGGCAACAGGATAACTGTGGACATAATTCAACCCTAATATAAGAACCCAAAATTTGCTGGAGTTAAAATAACATTGTTATCTACAATAATCGTAATTCATTTGTATCTAAGATGTTGTTGTAGTTCTGTTAGCCCTCAGCTACTTTAGGAAAAAGTCCACCCAATGTCAAATAAAATCCTTAAACAAACAAAAATGAAATAAAATCCTCAACTGAACAAATATGTCATCCACAACATGTATCAGTAAATTGAACAATGGGAGTTTATTTCCTAACCTCTGATGTGCAGTATTTCACAACATACACCTCTCTTTTTTTCTGCGTAAAGGAGCGGATCTGTCAGACTACTTCAACTACGGCTTCAATGAAGACACATGGAAAGCTTACTGTGAGAAGCAGAAGAGGCTACGTATGGGCCTGGAGGTCTCCACAGTCGGCTCAGTGACGAGCAAGATCACTGTAAGACACCACGGCTCACTCTGTCTTTTACTTTGGTCCTTCAGCACACTTTCTGTTTCTCCTTAAGCACCTCCTTCTCATCACAGCAGTGTGTATAAATCCTGAATGTATTATTGTAACCTTTGAAAAATTGTGTGGAAACATATTATGATAAGCTTATTGCACCATTCAGCGTAAGAAAAAAACTAACAAAAGTAAGCATTATGCTTTTCTTTAATGTAAGTCCATGACCTTTGTTTCCACATTGCTTTAAAGAGACTGCACTTTAACAGGCTTGTGTGATGTCGTGTAATGGTACATGTTATGTTTTCATGCTGAAAAGCCTCTAAGTAAGTAAGCCTTGTAACCCAAATTGAATTTAATGTTCCACCTGGGATGTTGTGGTGTAGAGAGCACAGAGACTGAACAGTGCAATATATTAACTCACTATACATTTTATCTGCCTTACTGCATGGCCAGAACTTGCAGCTTCTGTGATCATGCATTACGGGTCAGTACAGTCCATGGTTGGTTTTGTCCAGTGACATCCCAGTAAAATTTGTTCAAATAAGGTGGCTTTATGTTCACAAAAAGAAAGACAGGCACTGTTAGTTGTGCAGTATTGCAGCTTACAGTACATAGCTGGCTTGAGGCCTAATTTAAATAAGTGATGGCATTTTTGTCTTAATGGACCATATTTATTTAATTACTTTTATACTTGAAAATAGACAAATTAGAGGCTTAAATGGAAAACTACTGAAATTTGTGGGGGGTTTTTTGTTATGTATCAACCGTTTCATTAGCAATTTACCTGTTAGAGTAAGAATTATGGCTAGTGCTTTTGAATGTTTACGTTTTTCTAAATAATTGACAAAAAAAGTTATTGTATGAATGTCTTTTCTTTCCACTGCTCTATCAAAAGCTGTGAATTTTGTGTACCGTTACACTCCTATTGTTTGATTATATTTACCTCAACATCGACACTCACTGTCTACTGTGACAGAAATATGTTAAGAAGCTTGTTTTGTCTTTTTCCCAGGTTCAGCAGGGCAGGACAGGTAATGAAAAGGACTTGTCAAGTTTACCTGTTCACACCTCCAAGCCAGACTTCACATCTCCTGTCAGCCTGTACAAGTCTGCTGTCAGTCAGGTCACCAGGTAACAGTCCTCTTTTTATCTTCACTTTTTAAAATATATGGGGGAAAACATACTTACAGTTTTCAATAGAAATCAAGTGTACATGAAAGTAGATAAGACAGTGACGTGTTTGGGCAAAGGAGGGCTGGAACTAAAAACAAGAGTAAAGAGGAAGAAGCTCACACTGCATACACTTAACTGTCCTTCCAGAGGAGGGAAGAGCAATACATCATAGTCATGGTTGGTTCGCCACCAAGAGCTGATTGTTTTGGAGGAAACTAACTCAGTGAAAAACACAATATTTATCTTTTTTTTAATTTTTTTAATTTAACATGCTCAGACACTATCTTGAATCATAAAGACACACAAAAACGCTCCTGGCTACCACCAGGTTCACCTTCCCATGGGCTGTATATGTGTGTTTGTGTGTGTTAGGGCCAATGTTACTCTCATCACCCCTGTCCTTTGTTTCAAAATGGTAGGATCTCTCCCCCTCAGTGGACTGGCCCGCCTGCTCAAGACATGTCCTATTATACGTAAGTGGGCATGGCCTTGTCCCAACAAGGTTGAATTGGCCTGATGGTAGTAATGTGTATGTTATTTTAAAAAAGGGGGCCTTGCCTTTTTCTTGACCTAAAAATGTGACCACAGAAACACTCCCAGTGCTGCTTCAAAGACATTTCTTCCCATATTTCTTTTCTTATGCCTTTTTTTTGTTTTTGCTTGGGTCGTTATTAGAAAGTTAACACAAGTTAGAGGAAGAAAGAAGAATGTTTTCTATCTAGAAATCTCATAACTTTAACAGGACAATCAGAATTTATGTAATGAAAGCCCCTGAAAGATGGGACAATGGTGCAGGATGTTGAATTGAGATGTAAGCACAGTACATACAATTTTTATCTGGTATTCAGTTGAAAATGAAAAAATAAAAACATTGTAATGGTTTTATTGACTAATATTTTCATAAACACCAACCAGTACAATCTTTTTGAAGATCTCTTTTTGTCTAAAGTCATTATTTTATGTATTTAAATGTTGTCTTTATAGACACAAATTATTTTGTCTCCGACGTCTGAAAGACTGAAATACAACCAGCTCTTAAAGAAACTGTAAATGTGGTGGCTGCTAGAGTCAAACTGATCAATCAGCTGGGATGCTGTTTTGGTTGATATTATCGCATTGCTATTGTTGTCTACGTTAGATGATAAGAAAAGGAAATGTTGCCTAACAGAAATGCTACAGTAAGGTCTGAGATAACTTAGAAGCAGTGTCACGTTACATAGTTTGTCTATGAGACAAACAATGACTTTTATACTGTAAAACTGTTTTAAAAATATCTATGGGTTTCGTATCAAGATTGTTCATTGTTGTGCGTAAGCTATCAACTGGGCTATAACTGTTGTCATGTTTCTGAAACTGTGGAAGTGATTTAGGACTGCAGTGCTATCGACTGTCATGTGAATTTGTACTTAATGTGTTTTGCTGAATATGTTTGCTTTTCGTGTGTGTGAAAGTAGGTAGAGTCTAATGAAAGTGTAATTTGTTCTGGAAAACTGCTCAGTGCCTTGATGCCTGTATTCTTTTATCCTTTTTCTAGGAAGACGAGTGGTACCATAGATGTGATCGGTGGACAGACGGCCACAATCAGCCGGGTTGAAGGGCGACGCAGACACAATCTAGATGGCAACAACATCCAGGTACAAGGAGCAACAGTCACTTTTAATAAAAAAAAAAAGCTTTGATTTGTGTCTTACACAGGAAGACAGGTAGGTTTTTGCTTTTGTTACTGGTCTTAAATCTTGTGGCTACTCTGACTTCTCCTGTCGCTTGTTGTGCAGGTAATCTCTGAACACTCCACATCAGAGGCCGAACCAACTCCAGCTAAAATTCCCACCTTCTTCCCCCCTGGACCACTTCCTCCAAACATCCCCCCACCTCCGTTTCTTCCTCCGCCACCAAACGTCAGCACTGCGCCCCCACTCATCCCCCCACCCAGTAAGCTCAGTTGCTTCTCTTGCTCTGTATTTGAATTAAACCAGTTTTGTTTTCAATGCATTAAGTCTCCCCGTTCCCTGTCGTTTTCTCTTGTAGGGCTGCCCATTACTGTCCCTCCACCTGGATTTCCTCCTCCACCTAGTGGGCCTCCTCCTGCCATCATCCCCACTATGGACAGGTAACTCACATATACATGCACATTTAAAAAAAAAAAAAGCGAGTGTTGAGACTAAACCATTGTTCACATTTAACATTATTACATCAAAGACTGCCGATTATGATCCAAGATCAGCAGTTACTTGAATTTGTGCAACCAAACAGTTCCTGTTTGAAACAGGTGCTTGGCCTCCGGTGTTGTTCTTTGCTGCTTTCTCAACATCAGTGACAGCTGCTCATCTATACTATTTCACACTCAACACTGACAGCGTTTGGTTAATAAAGCATTAACATTAAAACTCTATTAAGAGACAGCATTAAATCTAACCCTCTGTTCAATTGGCTTTTAACATAACGCAGTCTAGGGCTGCACCCAACCGTTTTTTATAGAGTAAAGTAACAATTGTTGTATCAATTAGTTGAATAATGTAATGACAAAGTTATCAATTGTTCTAGAAATATTTTTTTTATTACCCAATTAATATAAAAATGCATTAACCCCAAATAAACATCAACTCGCCTCAGTAAAATCTCACTCTTTTATTCAGTCATCGAATCATTATCATCCCATTTTCATTTTACTGCTGTATTATACTGTTAATAATGATATTAATTATAGATCCAATTTGTCAGATGCCTGATCAGAGAAGTACTGAACCTCAAATCTTAAAGGACACTGTTTATTTCAGTCCTTGTATGTCATAGAAACCGCTTCCCTCAACTGGAAAACTTAAAGACCTAAGAGAACTTCAAACTGAAAATTGTCATGACATGGATTCATTTTATTACTTGATAATCGGCAGGGGAAATAATCAGTGAAGGGAAGTTGTGACCTGATGTTGCTTTAAACAGATTTCTCCAAATAGCAACATGAGATGATAGGTAGTGCAATGTTACGTTACCGTACTGTAGTGTTTTTAACATCTTTCTTACTTGCTAAATAGATCAAAAAGGAAATATACTTTAATTGGAAAGGTATTTCTTTTTTTCTTCACACTGCTTTACTTTTAACGACTTAAAACCATATGAATGCGACCCATGCTCAGAGTTTAAAGTCATGTTTCCAAAGTTGTATAATATGCAGACTATATACCTTACAACCCGAGAATTTATGTGTAAAAAAAACATGCTGACATTAAAAGAAATTACAGGGACAATGTAGTTCTAACTTTAAAGAAAAGCTGTTGCTGTCGTGTGTACAGCTTATTTAACATGATTGTTTTATTGTAGAGGTCGTAGGTATGGAGATATAGCGAAACACACTGCTGCTTATGGTCTTTGCAGGGATGGAAGTACACCTGCACACACACTAATTACAGTATCTGTATCATGTTGCCTTTTCCTCTGTTTCTACAGTGGCCACCCCGGAGGTTATGATGGACGCTCTGTGCCTCCGTACCCGTTTCCTCAAGGTAGAAAGCTCTGCAACATAGTCTGGTTTTCTGACCTCAGTAACACAAGTGCTCCAGCTTTATTAATAAGAGATGAGAAGTCGCATTAGAGATGTGTTGTGATATAAATGAGAAACAATGATAACAGAGATGTGTGCAAACAAAGACTAACAGCATAAACCAAATGTTTATTGACATATTTGAGTCTTCTGCAAACACATGCAACAACAAAGGATTATATTTGCACCTTACCCAATCCTTTAAATATTTCCACTAAACACAAACTCTCCTCTTCTTTGTCTGTCCAGGTGCTTACCCTCCACCCATGGCTGGAGGTGTTCCTCCTCCATGGCCCCCAATCATGGACAACTCCAAACCCTGGGACTACTATTCCCGTCGCGACGACAAGAGAGACAAGGACAGAGACAGACCCAGAGAGCGGACACATGAGCGGGAGAGAGAGAGGGAGCACAGCCCGTCAGCTATGAGCTACACCAGGTAGGAGAGACAAAAACGCAGACACTCATGTGCTGCAGGATAGTTTTATTGTGTAAAGCCACTAAATGTGATAAACAAGACGATAAACAATGCTTTGATTTTGAACAGTAATAAAGTAAACATTCTTGTCCTTTCAACTGCCACAGTGATGAGGAGCGGTATCGATACCGTGAGTATCAGGAGCGAGGTTACGCAGAGCGCCATCGTGACCGGTCGAGCCGAGAGAAAGAGGAAAGACACCGAGAGAGGCGGCACAGAGAGAAAGAGGAGGGACGCCACAAGTCTTCTCGCAGGTATAAGAACATACACATGATTCCTCTCTCCAGATGTTTGTCTTTATATTTTTTTTCTGTTTTGTAACTACACTGAGCATTTATTCCCAGGCCAAGTAGCCTATGTGATCACTAAAATAGTTTACAGGTTAAAGAAAATAATGTGTAGTATTTCAAAGACAGTTTTTGGAGCAGATGCTGATGTTAGCTGCTCTGTTCTGCTTCTTATTGGGGAAGTTTAGACTCAGAAACCCCAGTTGTTGTTCCCTGAGATAGCTTAATGTTTGACAAACACACCAGCTAGTTTTATCCTCAAAGTGTTTTCTCTTCTTACACTGAAACAGATTTTTGTAAAGGAAGAATGGAAAGACCCCAGTAGAGTTATAAGAAATTTATGTTTAAAAGGTATCTTTCTGTGCAAGGGACAGTAAATCAAAATGTTTTCTTTTTACTTTTCGTCTCCTTCCACCTTCTCTCAACCTTTTGTCTCCTGTCCAACACCGCCTCCCTTCATTTACCATCACATTGCCTCTCTGTCATTCTCTTCGTCCTCTTGTTCCTTCTCAATTTCTCTTCCTCTCTCCTTTTGTCTCTATTGATCTTGTTCGTCTGTCTCTTCTGTCTCACCATCTGTGCCCTCTCCCTTCTCCCCACGTCTGCCCTTTACTTTTCTGCTGATCTCTTTAATCTCCCCTATCTTCACCTCTTCTGCCCTTTTCACATCCACATCCTTCTCCTTCCATTAGCAGCAGTAGCAGAAGGAGGCATGACAGCGAGGAGGGCGACAGCCACCGGAGGCACAAACACAAGAAGAGCAAGAGGAGCAAGGAGGGCAAAGAGGCCAGTGAGGAGATCAGCGCAGACCAAGAGAACCAGGAGGCCATGGAGTAGTGGCGACTGCCTCCTGTCTCTCCATTTGTCTCCATACTGAGCGGAAGGGGAGAAAATGACCAACAAAACCAGAAAGTCGCAGAGTGATCGATGCAGCCTGTCACTCTCCTTTCCATCAATCTCCATTCTCCTCCATCCTGCTGTCGTTTGTCCTCACCATCACTTCAGAATGGATGGGGCAGAGGAGGTGGTGATGGGACGGGCGGTCGTCCTCTTCATCCATCTTTCCGTCAGTAGCTGACACCAGTCAGAGCATCAATCAGTCTTCAACCACCTCCTTCCTTTCCCCAGCCCGTCTCTTGGAGCTCAGTTAGGTCACGCTCAGAGATTTCACTGTATAGTTAGGATGATCAGCAGAATTTGATCTTTTTCTGTTATTTGTTTGTTTGTTCTTGTTCTAATAAAGACCTCTAGAGAAAACTGTCAGTTAAGTTCAATTAAAAAACACTTTTGATAAAATGTCTTTTTGTGACTTTTCTTCTTCTTTTAATAGTCTAATAACCATTCACATGTATTTTGTTTCTCAATTGTAGTGACTATTAATCTTTGACAGTCTTTAGCAATTTTCTAGTCCACAGATTATGCATCTGTAAAATTAGCAGAGCTATTGTCCTCTTTCACACAAAAATCTGTTTTTCAGATCAATTAACTTGAATGCCTCTCTGCTTAATGATGTATGTGACATGAAATTCATTATCCACATAAGTCAGGGAAGTTTTTGTGTTCACCCTAAATCTTAGTTTGAGGCATCTACATATCCTAATGTCTTGAGCCCATAAGTTAAAACTTCTAAAAGAAAAACTATTAATGTAGTATTTATAGAGTCTAGATTTTTGCAATAAATGACTAGATATAACATCAAGACTTCCCAGACACAAATCATGATTTAAGAAAAGGTTTTCTTTTTGTTTTTTGTTTTGCATGTCATACATGTCTGCTAAACATCTATCCAAAACCTTTTCTCTGAATTAGGTTTCGAAAGTATGTGTCCAATGGTTTCCTGAGTTCATCCAAAAGGATAAGCATGTAATGCAAGAAAGGGTGTTTGTTTTTGTTGTTTTTTTTACCACTTCACGTGCTTGATTGTTTATTGTACAAGTGCACATCGGGTCAGCTGCTTCAAGTGGACTCAACAGAAACGTGATTCTAGCAAATTTTTAAATGGTCACATTTTCACAGAGCTCAACTAGCAGAGCAGAGCTGGGGTTATCAGCAGGTCACCACAGAGTTCACATAAACATCAAATCAATATTGTATTTGAAAATTCTTCACCTAAAAGAGATTTTGCTGGAAGGATTTAAAGTTATGACTTTGGTGTTTCTAAAATCCTGGCTGCAGCCTTTCGTGGTGATAATACTCTAATGTTGGGGCTTCTTTTCCACCACAATATCACAGATTAAACTCCCTGATGCTGTATAGAAGTAAGTCAAAATGGGCTCAACTTCCTCCATCTGCAACAGTAAAATGCTGCTTATATGTTAATAAATAATCATAAAACTTTAATAGATTTATAAAACAAACCCAACTAGCTTTTCTTTTATATTCAGCTCAGTTGTCATTTGCAGGTTCTGTGATTTTACTTATTATTTGTATGTTTACAATGGAGGGGCAAAAAACAGCATTTGAAAATAAAAACTTTTTATAAAAGGGTTAGCAACAACAATTGTTTTGTGAAATGTTTTTGTTGTCTCTGCATTGCATGTATATTTTTAAGACTTCAAACGATAATGGGAGGCTTACATTTAAATTTGTGTAGTGTAGCATTTACAAGCAATAGATACACATTTAATGATTGTTTACTAACTCAACATAATGTAGTTGTAAGAAGATAGAAAGATTTTTTTCAGAGCATTACAACTACGCTCTCTTTCATTAAGTCTTTAAACTCCAGTTATGGATGCCAACAGGATGAGTTGTTGACACATCAATAAACACCTACATGTTACATGTGTTTACAGCTCAGTCAGTGTGCTATAATGTTAGCAGAGGCCATTACAGATGCACTGATGTAAAGCTTGAACTTGTAAGTGATAAGTAGCAATTAATTTGAAATTAGCTGGTTCCCTATAAAAATGGCAATATGGTTTTATGTGTTTTAATAGTGTCAGTGACCGATCAGGTAGGATTATGAAAGAGATTAAGGAAAACATGGAAACTGCATGTAGCAGCCTCTACAAAGCTCCTGTTACATGTGATTGGATCAACATTCTTCCAACAGGTCAAAGTCTAACCCCCTCTTTGGCCTGTTTACTTTGGTTACATCAGCTCCCAGTACCATGAATATATGTTGCATCTAAACAAGAGACTGTTGGTGTCCAGTTTGTGAGGCAGTGAAGTGAAGACGAAGTTAAGAGTGTGGAAGCAAATGAAACAGAAGAACATCTTGAGTGAAAGAGAAAAAAGCCACCTTGAAGATGAAGTGTGCTGCTGTTGCCGTGTTGCTAAGTCTCCTGTCAGTGGGACGCTCTGCTCCTCTGAGCGACTGTGACACTGTGCTAAAACCAGTAGCCATCAGCAGAGAATATGTAAGTTCTTCACTGCTTTGCTTTTCCAGAGGGTTTTTTTTTTAAGATGACTAGACTGAACACACAGTAATTGAGAAAAATGTTGAAATTCCTATATTTGGGGGTTTAATTAAGGTGAAATAAACAACCTCTGCAGTCTTCATTTCTGAATGAAACACAAACCTATTAAAGAGATGTGAAATGGGAACCATAATTTACTTAAAAGCTGTTTTGAGGAATCTGTAAGGAGAGACTGATTCAGTGTGTCAAAGCCTGTTGATGCTTCTAACTACAATACAGTTCAGTCACAAGAAGTAAAAGCTATTGCTGGTGCAATCATACATGAAGCAATTCTAGTAGCTTGTAGGGAATCCAGATGTTTTGGATTGTTGGGTGTTTCTGTTTCTGCCTTTGAGAAGCGCTATGAGATGACTTGTTGTTGTAAATATGCGCTATACAAATAAAATTGAATTGAATTGAATTGAATAGTACATCTGGCAACACACAGCAATAACCTACGTTGTTGCAGCTCCTCAGTCCTTTCTCACCATTTTTGTCCCTAACAAAGTGCATGTCGTATATACTATTAGTTCTCTGTAAGCTTAATTTTAGGTCCTGCAAACGTCTCAGCCCCAGCAAATCACTTCAGATAACACTATATTTTATAAGTGCTTTACTTCCTGGTTCTAATTACAGACAAAAAAAAAACAGTAATGTCCTCAAAATGTGATCTAAACACAGGTAAATATTCCTCATTCGTTGCTGTCAGTGGTTGTAAGAAACTAAGTACATTTACTCAAGCCCTGTGTTTAAGTACAATCCAGTAATTCTTGTACTTACCTTGAGTAATTCCATTTTATGCTTTAAACTTTCACTTCCGTCCATTTCAGAGGTAAATACTCTATTTCCCATTCCACTGCATTCATCTGACAGCTTTGGTTATTTTAGAGATGAAAATGTTGCTCCATGGAAAATTTCACAGGCTTGTAAAATGATATTAAAGATTAAATCAGTGTTTTTATTGATTTGTTTAGTAACTTTTTTGAATTCTAGCATCTAACAAAAAGCAGTTTGTAGTCAGAAGTTCATTTCAATAAATGTTTAAATGATTCAAAATCTCACCAAAAATCAAAGTTAGAGAAAAAAAAAATCCAAAAACTGAAAACAGATTTGTGCATCAGAACTTTTTCTCATTTCCTCACACATTGACCCTTAAGATTTATCTGTTGTCCCTGTATAAAAAACTGTATATAAAGTAGTTCAAACTAACTCCACTTACAGCAGCTACAACAGTAACATGCTGTTGACACACTGACGCTTCACTAGTAATAATTATATATATAAAAAAGATATATATAAAAATATATCAGTCCGAGAGAGCAAAACCAATACTTTTACTTTAATAATTTACCTACATTTTGCATGTATTTTTTATCTAAGTTGGATTTTCCATGCAAGACTTTTACTTGTAATCAATATATTTTTGCATTATTGCATTGGTTCTTTTACTCAAGTGAAGGATCTTAAATAATAATTATGGATTGTTCTTTGTTTTTTTAGTCTCCAATTGTATAACACTGATGTTGTACTGTCAGCATATGTAGTTTAGTTTTTCAGATATGTATACGTGTCACTATACATCATCAATAGGTAAGAAATGCTGACATGCAGGATGTTCTGTGCTGTGTCTGTGTGCTCCAGATGTTGGGGAGGTGGCTGTACATTGGGGGGAGCTCTGACCTCCCAGGAAGCCGCTCGCTGGGCCACCTGATGTCCAGTGCCTGGGTGCACCTCAGTGAAACCTCCCAGAGCAACATCCTCACTCTAACCCAGAGCCAGAGACTGTAAATTCCCAGCCACACTTTCTCACCACAACACAGAAACAAGACATTTGCAGCCAATAAGTAGAATTTCTAAAGATGAATTCTGATGGGTCAAGAATTTTTGCAAACTAAATCGCCAGTCTGAACCACATAGCAGAAAGAACTACTTTCGCAATTTTTTTTTGCTGTTGTTGCAGTAAATAATTTTGCTTTCATACAATTAGTTGAATATTTTCGCAGTTTTGGGAGCTTATGTTTCACTTGTTGAGCATTTTGTAACATATTCAGAGTAGTCTTGGTAGTTCATAAACAATAAAACTTATTTGTAATGTTCACCTTTTCATGTCTACATGGTGTGCCTTGCTATAATTTAGGTGCAAATACATTTAAAGCTGCATTAACTGATTTTCTGGCCAATTTGTGGGAGTGGAAACAAACTGGAAACACAATAATAGCACATTTTCAGTTTGTAAAGTTTCTATAATGAGCTTACTTATCAACAGGTGCAGTAGATATTGCAATTTTGGAGTCATCTAGTAAATGTGTCACAAATTAAACAAAACAAGGGGCTGAAAGAGGTTATGTTGGGTGCCTCGTTCTACTGGTGAGATGATCATATTATGTTCTAATGTCACTTTCATTGTCTTCCTCACAGATATGGCAAATGCTCGAGCCTAGCATACAATGTGACCTTTGAAAACAGCATAATGTTAATTGGTAAGTGAAGACGGCACGGATGGAGATCATTTAGATATTTAGAGGACGCCTGCATTCAAACAGTCACTTAATTTCTGTGTTTTGGGACAGAACAACCTTTCTACCTCAAGGAAGTCTACCTGACAACTGATCCCGACTGTCTGGTCGCCTATGAAGAAATAATCTCTGGCAGAGATACTTTTACCAGTCTTCTTATGTTTAGTAAGAAACACTCATTAATCCTAAAACCTTGAATGAGCACAGTGAAGTTAATTAATACATTCCTAATGACATCACTTTAAACCAAGCAGTAAGTGCATGTGAATTCAGAGCTCTTCGTTCGTAACTTTATGGTAGTTTTCCTTTCTTTTTTAAATTACGAAAGGTTCGATATTGAAGTGAAACTTCTGAGATTGTCCTTTATTCTGACATCTCTGTTTCCAGGCAGAACAAAGAGCGTCTCACCTGCTGCTCTGGAGATGTTAAAGAAACAAGCAGAGTGTTTGGGGATGACACCACCCATAATAATAGACCCAAACTATGGTGAGGAAGCACTTTCTTCTCTCCACATATTGTGCATTCATAATGTTGTAAAGAGCTGTTTGATTAATTTTCACTGTGTACGTAAACAGAAATGTGTCCAGACAACATCCGGCCCTCCGAGGGTCTCAGCGCTCTCAACTCCTTATTGGAGGCCAAGATGGGACATCGAGTTGCAAGAGTTCTGGATTATGTTTTTGATATGTTTGTGAACTGATTTTCAGTGGTGGAAAGATACAAAATATATTTACTCAAGTGTCGTACTTAAGTAATATTTTGAGGTACTAGCTGTTAACTTGAGTATTTTCATTTTTTCCCACTTTGTACTTCCACTCCACTACATGTTAGACGGGAATATTATACTTCTGAATGTACTACATTTTTCTAACATTTTTAGTTACTTTTAATGTTAGGATTTTACATATTTGATAATATAACAAACTTGTAAATTACAACAGATCATTAAAGATTATACCAGTCGTTTCTAACCTTTTTCTGGCTTCTGACATCTCATAACAAGCAGTGTGTAGTTTTTAACAGTTCCACCAAATATAGTTTTTTTCCCTCCAGACTTCTCTCATGGTTTAATTTAAATAAATGTTCCAGTGATCTAATATCATAAATAATAATAATAAAACTGAACACAAATTTGTCTATCTCAACTTTGTTTTTCCATTTTTCCTTTCCCATCTATCATCTAATGAGCCCTCAGATTTGTCTGTTGTCCCTGTATATAAAACTGTATATAGAGTAATTTAAACTTGCTCCACCCACTGCTGACACACTGATTCACTATTAACAACCTAATGAGGTCATGTATAAAAATGTATCAGTCAGAGAGACCAATCCGGCACTTTTACATTGAAGCTCTTATTAACATTTTGCTGCTCATACTTATGTACTTTTTCTTAAGTAGGATTTTTCATGCAGGACTTTTACTTCTAATGGAGTATTTTCACTTTGCTGTATTGTTACTTTTAATTAAAGGTTCCATACTGTGCCGCTTTTCAGCATATTAATGAATGTCTCACACGTCCCCAGAATGTCTTTCACTCATTTAGCTCAAAATACTGCACAGATGGTTCAGGACTGATCTAAACAGACTGTTTCTGTGTCTGTAGCTTTGAATGAAGCTCAACTGCTGCTGTCCACGCCCTCTTCAGGAAGAAGACTCTCTCTGAGTCTGTTAATAACAGTGCAGAGATCAACAGTTGATTGCACAGCAGCCGACAAAGACGTGAACCAGTGTGTGAGACCAGGCCTTTCTATTGCTTCTAACTTCCTCTCTGAGTGATAATTTCACATGGCAATATCACAAAATTCACAGCACAGCAGTTTGTCAGACAATGCTGCAGTTATAAAATCAGGATTTTAACAGTGTCGAGTAGCAGCATGGAATTGGCAGTGAAGTGGTAGTTAACATGTAATCTTAATGGGCTACATTTCAATCAATATTTTATTCTCATTCGGTTGCCTGAACAGAAACACAAAAATATTTGAAAGAGTTCAGAGAGTAAGAGAGAAGCAAATAGATGTAAACACTGACTTAGTTCATGTTGCACTGAAGCACAGGCGATATGAAAACACAATAACCCACGGGCTGTCCCTGTTTACAGTTTTTAAATCAGTCTTTAAGCATTCACTTTTAGTGATTGTCCGTCAGCTTTACAGTTCCCATGGTGCTCTGACTTGTAACGTTAGACACAGTGGCAGCACAATGTGCTAACACTGAAGAGTTTCCTGTTGGTGTGGGAATATGGCTGTCAACATAAGATTAATCTGTGAGGTTGTATGTTTCTCAAATGCTGGCAGTGAATGAAGACTCTCCTGTTTGCTCTTGCAGTCCACAACAGAACATTTAGTTTTGGTTGAGACATTTGAGAGTTAGCAGAAGCAGGGACAGGATTATGCAAAGTTTGAACTGGACAACTACTGACTTCACAGTTTCTACCGAGCAACTGGATTCAATTGTTATTGGCCTGGGGTGTGTGTAAAAAAATAGGTCTTTATTTCTTCCCAGTTTTTATTTTTTAAATCAGTGGATTTTCAACATATGGGACCTTTTAATGTTTGTGAACCTGTGTGATCTTTTCCAGTCCCAGAGTGGTTAACCTTGGAATTTGTTTGGGGTGAAAATCTTGTTGATACAAACTCTCCCCTGTGTCTGCCACATTATCTTTTTGTGTAAGTGCCAAAAAAAAAAGAACTTTCTGTCTCCCATGCCTTTTAGACCAGATTACACCACATATTTAAACAACTGAGGATGTTGTCATTTCATGTGGGCTGAACCTTGTAACTTTAAAGCCCCACTTTAAAGCTGGGACACATACAGTCAGCAGCACGCCACGATGGAGCTTGTTCATGTTGCTGTGGTTGTGTTGAGTCTTCTGTCTGCTGGCCAGTCATCTCCTGTGACCAGCTGTGAAAGTCTAACCCAACCTCTTGATTTCCAAGGAAGAGATCAGGTAAAACACTTATCTCATCTGTCTCACTTTCGTCATTTGTTTTAATGAAAAAAATAAATCCTACAGTCCATTAGTATGACTGTTTGTCATCTTACACAACCGTCTGTTTCAGCTGCTGGGAAGATGGACGTACTTAGGAGAAAGCACAGACATGCTTGGAACCAGAGCATTGACAAAGATGTTTATGGAGACCTCCTGGCTGAACTTCACTGCTGGTGACAACAGTGATACGATCAATACTTTTCAGAGTCAAAAAATGTAAGCTCGGGCCTAAATTTAAGTATTGTGTCATGGTTTTTAAGTTCACATTGTACTCAACAATTGGTATTTTGGACCCAAAGTGTTGCCTGGAGTATGAACTGATGTTCTCCATTTTAAACCATTTCAATCTTCAATTTCTCCTTGTGAAAGGTTGGGCCTTTGTTTCAGTGTCTCTTACAAACACACCTTGAAAAACAACACTCTCAGTATGGGTGAGTGGTATAAAGGAAACATGCAGTACCAACATTTTGACTGACCGCGTACCTGCAAAAACAGATTTGGACCTTGTGTCCAGAATTGCAGCAACCATTTTTGTCCTTGTTGATCAGTATATATGTATGTATGTATGTATGTATGTATGTATGTATGTATGTATGTATGTATGTATGTATGTATGTATGTGTGTATGTGTGTGTGTATGTGTGTATGTATGTATGTATGTATGTATGTATGTATGTATGTATGTATGTATGTATGTATGTATCCGCAGTGCAACCTTACTCTGGTTCTGGTATCCTGCTGAATACCGGCTGTCCTGACTGTCTTGTTCTGTATTCAAATTACACCATTGGACAAAGCTCATACAAAGTTCTCCAGCTCCTGAGTAAGAACAACAACTTCTTTATTTTTTTGTATATATGTAGTCAGCTGGGTCTCTCTTCAGCTTGTTCAGTCACCTACAAATCAATCTGCTATAATGCCACTAAGTATAAAGCTGTTGATGTACACAATATTTCATAATCTCTTTGAGTTGGCAGATTTCTGCCATGATGGAAAAGTTAGCACGTTTACCTGAGCACTACACTTAAATACACTGTTGGGGTAGATTTTTTTAATTTTTTTCAACTTTATTCTTAAAGAAAAATTGTACTACTTTCCAATACTAACCTTTCAAAAAACACCAAATTGGCAGTTAAACCAGTGTTTCCTGACCTTTTTTGGCCCCTAACTCCTTATAAAATCCAGTTGTGGGGCAGTTGGAGATGATAGAGATTACCCCTCTACACGTCTCACGTTGTTTCATTTAAATAACTGTTTGAGGCAAAAAAGAGGTAAAGGCATCCAATATTTCAAAATCAAGGGAAACTATAGCAATGAAATTTATCATCCATGTGTAAAATAGTTAAAAACTGGACCATGACCACAGTAAACAATAACGTACAGTTGCTTATATAGTCATGCATCACAACTACATAATGCTAGACAGAAGCAGCTCTTCCACTTTATTTTTGATACCTTTTAATACAATTTACAGTTAATACTTTTACTTCTAATGTAGTATTTTCACATTTTGGTGCTTCTGTAGTCAGTAAAGGATCTCAGTCTGACTTTAAACTGCATTATACTGTCCAACTGTGAGTCTATTTGTCCATAAACTGCATTAGGAGTTTACATGCTAGCAGCTCTGTAACACTGTACTAAGGCACAGAGGTCCACATAAATTCCAGTACAGTATTTCATTACACTTAATCATAGACGGACCACTATTACCATCCCTATTGCTACGGCTTTATTGGACACAATATTATATGCGTCCTTATGTTTTAAGCTATGAAGTGAGCCTGCATATGTCAGTACTGCTGTATAGGTTCTTTGCTTATCCTTTTTTGTCGCTCAGGTAAGAGAGCTAAGGTGTCGGCTGCTGAGCTGGAAGAGTTTAAAAAACAAGCAGAGTGCCTGAGCTTATCATCACCTGTTTTCCTGGATTCAGAAAAAGGTATGAACTTTTACTTGTATGCAGTAATGAAGGTTCATAGCCATGACTGTGATGTTTCTCATGCTCCCAAAGGTTGTGGACACGCACAGATGTTTTCACACAATGTAAAAGGTTTATTGCATGTTTTTAATTTAGGATGAAAACAGAACATACCTGAATTTTTACCCATCAAAAGAAAATGCAGATTGTGTCTTTCTTTGTACTGCAGCTGCAGCAGTTGCAAAATGTGTTTTGTCAAATGACCTACAATAAACTGCAACTGAAGTTAGATTTATATTGTGTAATATTAATTTTAGGTCATTCTGCATAATATCTAGGAGTTAGCATGCGCCATACACCTCTATGTGAGGCAAGACAGCAGGAATATGGAAAAATCAAACTTAAGTGAATTGCTACCATCAGACATAGCTGATTATTGCTGTCTACATCTCTAAGCAGTGTTTGATTCTTTGTTTCCAACTTGTTTTTGTTGATCATGGTTGATAAAGGTTGTGCTTTCATGAAATGCATTTTCCCTCAAAACAAATGAAACTAATTAACAGCTCTCTACCTCACAGGTTTCTGCTCAGATGAGTCTGTTTCCCAACAAAAAACCATTGACCTCAGTGATACCATGAACAACATAACCTCCGATCAACTGAGCCAACTGGACAAGATTCTTAGAAGTCAAGGTGGAGTGAAGACACTCATGGAAATGCTCACCAGCGCTGTTGGTCAAATAAATCCTAATTAACACAATCACAAATGTTATGCAGTGCTTACATAATGAAAAGCCACATCTATAAAGATGCAAAATACATATGAAGCATATCTGTTGCTCTTGTGTGTCATATTTCAGAAATAAGACATAAAGATCTGTCTTTTTGCTTTACTTTCACTGACATTGAGAATCTTTGCTATAAAATTGTGAATGCAAGACTTGAACAGTACGAATAACAGTAGGTAGGTATAATTTCATTTAAGCCTCAGAATGTTAGTGGACCATCTCTTTTCAATTTTCAACCTCACATTTTAGGTCTGCTTCTGAAGTGTTTGGCTGGTGCATCAAATTAGGTTTTTTTTGTACCCGGTGGGGGAATAGATTATCCAGCAGTGACATACATTTAATGCACACAGATACAACACAGGACAGCTAAACACACAATAAGATGTTCAGGTAAAAATAGAGAAAATCTAAACATTCTGCAAATAGTTATCTTTTTCCTGTGTGAGATTTCACTTCTGTCTGAGTCATAACTAGTGTGACCCTGAAACACAAACCCCGACCAGGTAAATAAGCAAACTTATTGACGTTGGGCAAACACAGATTTGAACTTTGTATCTACCTTTTTTAGCAGCATGTCTTTGTGTGCTCCCGAGAGCTTGTTCTCATATTAACTACCACCACCTTGTTGTAAACTGACTGTCTTCTGTTCAAGTTATTAAATAAGATGATAACAATGATAATGACAATGGTCACTGAGCTAAACAAACAATAAAACACAGTATTTCATACTTCTGTACAGGATCCTTTATTTTTTCATGTCTACAAGGCAAGAGAAGAACTCTGACTGATGCTGGAGGAGGTTATGTGGGGATGAATATACCTGTGGTTTTTGTACCTTTTTTTTTTATTATAATAGTTGCAGCAATTTCCACTATCTTTTCTATGAAGTTAGTGAAATTAATCCACACTTTGTCTGTGTTATTGTTGTTTGGCCAGAGCCTCCATCTTAAAAGACATACTACAGATTGGTTTGTCAATAAATAGAGGTCCAAGTGACCAAGTTTAAAATAGGCTGTGAAGAGTTCCAGCAGTTTTAGTTCCTTTTAAAAGATTACTTGTCTAGAAGCTGCGTTTGAGGCAAGATACTAAATTAATTTGATAAATGAATCTAGCTTCACTTTAAAGAAATGGCTTCACTACCACAGTACCTCTTCAAAACAAAACAAAAAAAAGAAAGAAAAGAAAACACTGACAGCTGCTGATCATTTTGTCTGGCAGATCGTAGTTCATTACATTCTGTGGTTGGTAGGTTTCCACTGATTTATTGTGCTAATAACCGAACAGCTCGGATAAAGACGTTGGCTGGCTCTCTGTGCTCACATACTACATTTTTACACAGCCAAATTCCCAATAAAGCTGTTCTCCTTTATAGCATTTTTGTGTTTTCATACAATGGAACAAGTGTAAACAGTGACTGGAATGCAGCACGTTAAGACTACACGTTAACCGCCAGTTACTTGAGGACCATTTCCAAGCTGCTGCTCTGCATCACTAGACTACTGATTTTTTAACCGCAAAATTGTTTGACAATCTCACCATACACACAAGGTATAAACAATGGTGTGCTGTGAATTCAGTGATATTTCCACGCCAAACGTTTTTCTGTTTGGAAAGACAGATCTCCAGAGAGAGTCTTCTTCCTGAAGGGGACGTAGACAACAGCATTTAAAGCTACTGACACTAAAAGCAGGAGTTATGCAGTCATGGTAAAATTAATGAGGTACTTTAACCTCTTAAGACCCGAGTTCTTGTTTGATATGCATTTTTCTTTTTTGCTATTTGATCTGATCAAATAGCAAAAATAAACATTATTTTAAAAAATATAAAGAAATTGTGTGTGTGTGTATACAGCAATATATTCAGACTTTTATTCCATATATTCAGACTTTCATTATATATATTCAGACTTTCATTCCATATATTCAGACTTTCATTCAATATATTCAGACTTTCATTATATATATTCAGACTTTCATTCCATATATTCAGACTTTCATTCCATATATTCAGAGTTTCATTATATATATTCAGACTTTCATTCCATATATATATATATAATTTTCCTAAACGGCTTGCCATATATATATATATAAATTAACTACCGTGGTAATATAACCCAAAATGTGATGTCAATGTATGTAGACACCTGGTCTTAAGAGGTTAAAGCACTGCTGCACATAAATAGGCCTCACAGACTTGCTGTGAAGTTTTGTTTTGCTTCTCACCCAAGAGCGCATCTAAACCACTTTTGGGTTGTTTACACAATTGATTTAATACAGTGAAGGTTAAAGTTTTGTAAGACCAACTGGTAATCACATGTAGTTAGTGAAGCCGCATGAAGTCTGGAATGGTGTGAAACTGCCTGAGACAAGATGTCTTATGTCACATTGGTCTTCTGTAAATGAACATCCCAGTTGTTTTAAGGTTAAGCCACCTCCCAAACACACAAATCTCTTCAAAGGAACTGCCCAGTAGTAAGCAGAGTTGATCAAGTCTCTGAAGTGAAAATCTCAAGGCTAAAATCTGCACTCTAGTTGCCTTTGGTGTACAATGGTGTCAACAAAAAGGACAACTGAGTTCACACTCAAACTACAAATCATACTGGGTTGAAGCGGAAAATGCCCATAGCCTTGTTTATTGGTAGTTTATTACTGTACATACATCTGTCATGAGTCATGTACATTTATCTTTCTCTCCCTCACGCACACGTACACACAGAACACTCAAGATTATATAAAAAAGACTCGTTTTCTGTGCAGGATTCAATCACAGTCAGATCTATGAAGAACATTTGCATCTGCATACACCGTGCACATACACATATATGCACACACACCACAAATATATGCATATGGCCTTATGCCTTAATTTACACAGAACAGACCACAATCAAAAATGTAGAAAAGTGATGATGAACCGATAGGCAAACCAGTGGTAATCAAGTGAATTTGGGTCTTGTAAAATATAAACTAACACTACGTCTGTCTTTGTGGGTGCATGGTGGATGTGCTTCCTTTGCTATCTAAAGAGGAAGAAAAAAGAGACGTTGGTTACCTTTTCTCAGGGATCTTTTTCAATTTCAGAACAAACTCCAAATGCATTGTTTCACAACTATTCAAGTAATGTGTGATCTGTATATTATACTTGACACCCTGGTGTAACTTTGGAACATACCTGACAGAGAGATTTTGCAATGCTACATTTCTTTTGTTTGTCTACTGTAATCCCCTGAGTGCGACCCATACATTCACCAGAGCTGAGTGAACGAAAAAAAAAGTGGCCTTGATCAAATTCTTGATGTACATATTCTCACAGTCCACATATCTTGATGTTTCCACAAAAGGTGTGTAAAGTGGGAAAAGCTAAATATTTACTAAACTCAAAAAAGGCCTTCTTTTTTCCTACTTGCTGGCAAAATGTTAAATATATGTTTTATAAATTAGATGTGCTTTATGTTGTGAATAGTCACCTATATCATGAAGTAGGATTGTTAGCTGGATAACTGAACTTAACTGTGCCCGGAACATTATTTTGTAAAATTTAAACCTACATTAATTGAACATGTGAGCATATCACCACCTTAAAAAGTTGCTATTGCAAACAACATTTTAACAAACAAACTCAACATGTGCTCTCCTCTTAGGTCCTTTACTGTTCTCCTCTAACTTCTAATGAAAATATCTGCGACATTAGTGGCTAAATGCTCCAGCATGTTCACTAAGAATTTTCTAAGTGTACTTTTAAGTGCTGAGCATGTAGCTGACAGTCATTCATCAGAGCTTTTTCTGTGAATATTGCTGCTGCAAACCAGATTAATGAGAACAGTGACAGCAAACCTGCATAGTAAAGGCCTGTCCCCATTGCATGTGTCATTTATAATTTCCAGGTAAATTTAAAAACTACTGCAGCCATTGAGACTGGTCCAATTGGATGCGCGTCACATATGTACAATTTGGCCTCTTTGGAAGTGAAGTCAAATTTAACCAAACCTTGAAAAATGGTTAACAGAGAATCAAAATCTGCAACTTGTGTCTCATGTGGTGGGACATCAGTGACTTGGCATTGAATCTAAACTCAAAATATGGCGGACCAACTACTAGATCCTATTCTACGTATGCACCAAAAAGCTGGTCATCACTGCAGGAAATGCTGGATGAGCTCATAGCGGAACTGTCAATTTTAGATAGTTTTTCACGCTGTGAAAAGCACGTTTCCTATGATACCTTAAGTGTGAACAGTTTTGAAACGTCCAAATAAAGACAAGAGATGTGACATTATTTGGCTTGTTCCAAAAGACACACGCAGTCAGAACAGGCCATAAACCTGCAGGACAGAAAGCCAAAAGAATGAGCTGAAAGACACAAAAGCTTTGTAGAGCAGAAAAGGGTGCGGGGTCAAATGTCAACACTAATATAAGTAACCTCTTTCCACACTGCACAGGCATTTTTTTTTTGTTAACATAAAAACATTGGTTAGTGCAACTTTTTAAATCCATGTGGCTGATCTGTATGTAGCTTGGTTCTACCCAGAGCTAACTTTCACAATCCTGCTTCATGATAGAGAACCCTGGTATCACGTAACACCCAGCAAAGAGGACCTAATCCTCTTGTTCACCCTAAACATTTGAATGTAATGAAAAAGGATATATCTAAAACAGAGGAACTTTCTGATGTACGTCCACATCCTCAACTGGAACACTCCTATGAGTGAGCCAAGGTCAGTAGATAAGTAAGAGAGGCCATGTAAAGGTGTTAAGGACAAAGCGACTGTGCTTTCGTGTCGACACGTGACCACAGAGAAAAAGGAAACAACCATGGCAATTCTTTGCAAAAATTAAGAGAGGCCTATTTCATGAATGCACACATTATATGCACACACACACTTATAAATTACAAAAAAATAAAATAAAAAATGGTTATGGCAAAGAAATGTTTCAAAGAAAGAACCCTGCTTTACAGAGTAAAGAACATCTCTTCATGTCTGATTTGTCTGTTTTTTGCTTGTTTCTCTGACTGACACACACACACACACACATACATAACAGTTTTACAAGCATCGACTGCCTCTCTTTCAACATAACAGTAAACAAATGTTAAGATACTTAAAAAAAAAAAAAGAAATTTTAAAAAGGAGAAGAAAAAATATTTTCTCTCTTCATTACCAGTGGCCGTCCTTACAATTTCCCTGTGACTCAGAAGCAGTTGCTAGGCAGCCAGCCCATCACCTGGACGCACACAATGCCAAAAGACAAATTATTCCAGGTAAACTGTGCAGCACAAAGACCCATTCATACTATGGACAGTACAGTCAGAGTGTGTGATTGTCACTGGGTTAGGGTGATGCACAGTGATGTGTGCAGAGACATGAGAGGAGGCGAGAGGATGTCCGGTACTTGAAGACTGACGTTACTGAGTTCAGCTATTCTGGCCACCAGCCCAACATGTTCCTGTAAGACTAGTATGTCCGCTACAGCATTGATTTGGATGAAGGCTCCTTTGGAGTTCCATGTTATGTTGCCTCCACAGCCTTCGGTAAGGATCTGGAGCACCAAACCAACTCTTACAAAAGCACTGGGGTGTATTTTTTGCAAGTGAAGTTGGCGGCGTGACATATGAAAGTGTTTGTTTTATCATGGTCTGAATGTGCCATGTGCTTCGGTTAGGGAACACAAAAGTGACAATATTCCAGTTGTGGCTCACGGACCTCAATTCGAGAGTCTAAGTCTCCAGCTCTAGTTCTAGTTCCAAAATCCGTAACACTGCCCATGGCTGGTTCTCCTCTGACAATCCCATAGATGGGCATACGTTTGCAGTGACATAACAGTGTGCCAGTTTGCCCGATGTTTCAAAGGTGAATTAATTCCGAAAACAAGTGTGGGGCTGCTGGATTTGTAAACAAGGCTGTAGATAAAGTATGTGTAGGGGGAAAGGGTCAAAGAGAAAAAAAAGGGAGGATCAATGTAAACACAAATACTGGAGTATTTCAGGAAGGGTAGTTATTTGGGAGCTTTACAGCCATTGTGATTCTGTGACAGAGCTGGGCAGCAGTGGAGGTTTTTGAACAGCTGCAGTCGGCCTAGTCCGGTCTGAAGATGGGGATCTTAGGTAGGAATTCTATTAGGATTACCTGCAGGTGATAAGAGAAAAGGTTCTTAGTGATGAGTCAGGGATGAATTTCAAATGTATCTAGTGCAAAACATGCAAGCCCCTTTCAGTCATGTACTCCTTTGCAATAATCTAACAGCAACCAAATGTGTCAGGTTCATGTCTGAAACCTGAACCTAATAGCATTTCTTTATTGCTTTCAACACGGCACAGGACTGACCTGCTGTCACATTAACAAATGGTCAGGCACAAACAACGACTCTTTGGGTTGTGTGAAGCTATTTGGGGAAGGCTCTTTACACAGTTCAGCACCAATATTGATAAAAAAAAAACATCATTTGCGTGAAAAATCACTAAACACCTTTCCCATTTACTTTGCTCTACAATGTCAGATCCATTACAAACTGAAATGTCCATAAAAATAAAACTTTACGGCAATGACGACAGCCACAAACAGTTCAGATTAATGATACAAGCCAAAAATGATTGCAATGTTTTTTTTTCTTGCCCCACAAAATGTTAACAGGAGATGAAGTCTAATATCTTGCGTCCAGCTGTTTGTAGGAGAGTTTGTTCTGAATTTATTAAATACCTGCAGCATCAGGATCTATATGAGCATCTCCAAAGCAAGAGGGTTTTTACGCATTTGTGCACATGGAACAACAGGCTGAGTAACTTCATTAAATACTTAGAATTATAAATCATCCCTTACATGGAGGAACACACAGAGTCACAGTTTATAAGCTGCAGACAAACCTTTTCTTACTTTGTGGCAGTTCTCAGTTTGAGCATTGGGCCATTGCAGGAAATATTGCAAATTAATATGCAGGACTGTTCGTGGCAATATTGGGGTCAAATAATTTTTTGCAGCATAAACATCAAATTTACTGAAGCATCACATATTCATTTGCTTGATTATCCACAAACACACTTTTCCATATAGCTTCATCAACAGTGACTGCGTATAGAAGCCCTTAAACCCATCTACACTGAGCATCAGTACTTGTAAGAAAAAACACATGTTCGGACCAACAAGGTTCTATCACAGGGCAAGTGTGTATTTATCAAGAGTTTTGGGGCAATTACATCCACACACAGGTTGAGCACTAAAACATTATCCACAACAAATACTTACATATTCCATCATGTTGTTGGTTTCACACTTCCTTTTGCTTAGTCTCCAATGCAAACACAACTGCAAATAGAGTGCAAAAGTGATCAGAAAATGTTATATAACATATCCATTTTCAGTACAAACATATCCATTTATGTCTATACTACTCACTTTGTGGTAAAGTCTGCTGTTCTCCCACTCCAAAAGTTTCTCTATAGATCGTCTCGTCTGGAATACAAAACACACATCACATATTGACCTATTATAAAGTGTCACACACTAAATTACTGCAGAATTCTTTGTAGATTTGGGTTTACTATACTGTTGCTGCAAACGCAACAGAAGTTGATGGATGCTTCTTAAGACTGGGATACATGTGAGTGAGCAACAGTGAAAGGATAGTTATCTCACCCTCTTGCTGAGGCAGATGACAGGCCACAAACTGAAGCCCAGTGTACAGCAGCAGCAGAGGCAGCCACACAGGAGCCACCGCACATTCACGGGGAGTGTTTTCCTCAGGCAGCTGTTTACACGGTTGATACTGGCTTTGAATTCCTCTGGTGCCACCTAAGGGAAATACACATTCATAGAACAGTTACTATAGTAACATTTTATAATTATGTAGAACAGATAATGGATGGAGAAAACACAATATTAAACAAATCAAAATTGTGACAGTACATGTTGACTAAAATGCAAATGTTGTGAAGCAGATATGAGAATGTGACTTTTTCATTGTTAATTTGCCTCAATAAATCACAACAACACACTCACCTTTCCTGTAAGTGCTGAAGGAAATTCTGACTCGAATTTATTACTAAGCCCAAACCTGTGGGGCAAAGAAGGGAGAAAAAAAAGACAAACATTTTACTGCAGCTACCTTAAATCAAAGATAAAAACTGCAGAGCCCAGCAGGTATCAGGAGTAAATTATTAATATTCACATTTATAATGTATCACGACAGACCTTTATAGATGCACCATCACTTTTGTCAGAGCCCCATAACAAAGACATGCTGCTAGACAATTGACAAAGCAAGAACGACCTGATATATAGTGGAACATTTTTAAAGGTCATGATGAAGATGATGCATAGTTCTGTTAAAACACCTCAAATACCTAATATATCAACGTACCTTAGTCCTACATCAAAACAAGTATATAGAAGCTCTCCATTTGGATGGTAGACATTAGACATACAAATTGTACTGTTTACTATGGATTACACAGCCACGTGTAACTGGAGGCAAAAATAGCAAACGAAAGAAATACAAAGACAGAGTGCTGACATCCAATGTGTGTGAGAATAAAGTAATTACATTTCACTGATGCATTTAAAGTGTAAACTTATTTTAGCTTGCAGGTAACTTTCTGACCACCTGACTGGACCAGACACGACATCCTTCGAACTTCTAACTGCTGCCACAACTTTTGTCGCTGGAGACAGCTGCTTCTGAGTAAAGTTTTCGATCCGAAAGTACAGTTAATTCACTTAAGAGAAGGCGAAATGCATTTATATATAAGAAGATATGGATATTTAACTATTATTTCAGTGGTAAGAACACCTGTTTGTCGACAGTATGTAGAAAAGTCTGTATTGTCGATATGGTATCTTATGTTGTCATGCTCGGTACAAAGCAACACAGTCTGTGTTCAAGTCCCTCAAAAGTGGAACTAATAACGAGGACACACTGCCTTGACTTGACAACAGCAAAACCAACAGCATTATTTATTGTGTGGCAGACACAGAAAGGGCCAGGTAAAAACGAAAGCCAAATCTAGGCAGCCACTCCTCGCTGTGTTAGCTCACTGCTAAGTTAGCAGCTAGCTGGCTATGCTAGGTCACCAGAGGCACCCAGTTAGCAGCCCAGTTTCCCACGTAGCCCTCGGCCGCTCATCGATTCACGGCAGCGGTGAACTGCCGTGTCGATCCCCCGCAATGGACGGCGGTTGCTTACACAGTGACGTGGCCGGACCCTCGCACCACCACCGGGTCCGGAGCGTACTTGAGGAGCTGCTCCTCCGCGGCCCTGTCCTCGTCCTCCTCTTCCTCCTCCTCCTCTTCGTAGATCTCATCAAAGTCCTCCATCATCGCACGACTCGGCCTCGCGCTTCCCGGGAGCGACACCGGGAGAGACACGATGACGACCGACAGTGAAACCTTTCCGAGAAAAAGTTTTTTTAAAAAGGGAAATCGGGAAGACGAGAAGACGACCACAGAAATACCAAGCAGACCCGGAGACGGTACAGCTCACATCGTTCAGCGAGCTCCGAAACAAAACATCAACATCCGCCGCAGTAGCCGTACGACACAGGAAGAAGGACGGACGTGCTGACGTCCTTCTTCTACTTTTTCTGTTTTTACAAAAACTCTATTTACAAAAATCTGCTTTTTAAAAATGTTAGATTTTACTGCTATTTTTTTTTAAAATAATAAATAGGGACACATCTAACTTCCTGCTCAGTGAAATTCAAGTAAGCTCTCCTTCCTGTTTTACTGTTTCTTGTTTGTGTATTGTGTATTTTTGCTAGTATTTTTCCGTACTTAATACTATATTTTGCATACTTCCTCTCGAAAACTACTAAAGACTTTTTTCTTTCTTGTACCCGTTATTTATATATTTATTCAAGGAAATTATAATAGTTAGGTCCACATATTGTTTCTTGCTCAGTGAAATTAAAGCTACCCCAGGCACTGTTTGATCTATGCTTTGGCTGTGTTTCCTGTTTTTATACCTATTTATGTTCTCATGTTTGTACTTTAATTTGCATACTTGTGTGCACTCACGTTTCTTTCTTTCTTTCTTGCTACCGCTACGCTCTATTTTTTTACTATGTTTGTATACCTGTAAATCTGATTAGACTTGTATTTTTACATACTTTATATTTTATTTTAAGTTATGTGCACTTTAAAAGTACTAATCTTTTGTCTTTCTTTCTTTCCATTTTTTTTTAAACAGAACTTGTCATTTGAGAAAATGTGTTGGATTTTACTGACCAATTTTATAATAAACCTGCTTATTGAACCGAAAGATACCTCAACACATGTTCCTTGTTTGTATACCTGTACATTTGTTAGTAATTACACATATGTTGTTATATTGTTTTTGCATGAATATGTACACTCAGGATGTGTTTAGGCTTCCTTCCTTCCTTCCTTCCTTCCTTCCTTCCTTCCTTCCTTTCCTGTTTGTTGCTGTTTTTACAGGAACCCAATTACATTACATTACAATAAACTGTGATGGTTTTGTAAAATGCAGATTTTTTTCTTTTTCTCTCTCTCTTTTCTTTTAAAGGGAAGATGTGTTTGATTTTGCTGAGAAAACAAACAAAAAAACATTAAATATGGCCAGATTTTTCCCCCCAGTAGAACTAAAGCTATCCCCAGGCTCTGTTTTGTCTTCTTGTTTTTACACCTGTACATTTAATAGTGTTTTTACATTCTACTTTAATTATAGTTTGCATATTAATGTGCATTTGTTCTGACATTTAAAGCTAGTTTAAGCTTATATATTATATTATTTTGGTTTGGTGGGCAAAATCTAGCTGCAGTAAACAAATTTCTGAGTGTATCTGAGTGATGAAGAAAATATTCAGATATATGCAGAAATTACATGTAAAACACATTATTATTTTCACAAGTCCTGTAGCTTCCCAAAAGTAGAAGTAGAGAAGTTAATTTACTACATAATGTAAATGGACTGTAATTCGTAGACACAATGTAAATAGATTATATGTTGGCAGCATTTTAACAATCTCCAATTTAAAATCTTTTTAAACTATTGGCTTGTTTAACTATTGCACTACATAATTCTATAAGACCATTATATGTTTCGCATGAAAATCTGTGCAAATAAAATACATGAAGTAAAGAAAACAGTACAACTGTTTGCTTTGAATTAATCAAACGGAAGAAGAAGAAAAGGAAATATCATTCAAAGCAAGACAAATGTATATTTAGTCCTTCTCTTAATCCTATAGACAATGGATACCTTTATATTTTCTGACTATGATGCATCTCGCGTGCTGACAGTTTTATTTGCACCACATTTATATATGATTTTCCTTCAAAAATGTGCCATTAGTCGTCAAAATGTCTTATTTTGAAAGGTTCGACAAGAGGCAGTGTCTGAACGCGGAAGTTGGTCTTCCCGGCTCTGCTAGAAAAAAACGATTCAACAACAGTCGTTTTATTGTGTTTCCACTAAAAATCCTACGAAGTACTGACAGTAAACTGTTTATTTCTTCACCCTTAGAGGTTTACACGTCGGTCACAGCAGTGCGGAAATGGCGCCTCTTTAAGTTTAGGAGGTGTGGCGATAGATGAACCAGCTCGGTAAACTTTTAGCTTCTTTTCCGTGGATGCTATAAACTGTTTTGCAAGATGACTGTAACCGAGCATTTTAAGATGATCTTCAAAGTTTTCAGAGATGTCGATCCTGTTTTCACTAGCGGGATTCTCACGGTGGTTCTGTTGTCGTGTGCTTTATTCGGCATCCAGACATTTTTCAGTTTAACCCAGGGCGCCTTCAGCGTAGGTGCAAGTGTTTTCCTAAACGGACACCTCCACAGGCTCTTTATTTATCCCTTTTACCACAGAACCTTTCTTCAGCTCATCCTGAACATTGGAGCCCTGGTGTTTCTCAGTGGTAGTTTGGAGAAAGGCGTCGGCACGGTCCGGTTCCTGTTCTTGTTCTTGCTGCTCTCCTCCTTCACAGGTTTGTTCTACAGCTTCCTGGACCTCCTGCAGGATGAGAGCATCCAGGGTCACACCGAGGGTCTGGTTCCTGTGACTCTGGCCTGTGTGGCTCTCACTACCATGCACACAAAGATGACCAAAGGTTTTCTGTGTGGAGTCAGTTTCCCCACCATGGCTCTCCCCTGGGTGTTCCTCATCATCACCACTGCCTTGATCCCTCACTGTGTGCTGCCCTGTAATGTCATCGCCGTCCTGATTGGGTGGCTGTATGGGAAAGGGTGGTTCTCTCTTTTGGACATGTCTGAGACCAGGGCTGGACTTCTGGAGAAGATGATGCCTTTCAGGTTGTTGAGGAGCATCAGGGGTGTTACGTTTGTTCCTGCTTCCACAGAGGAGAGGAGGAAGACCCTGCTTCCACAAATCAATCCCACACCTGGGTCTTACCCGGTCCAGGCTTATGCCCCGTTGTCCAGCATTAACAGTGCCAACAGCACAGCCATGATGTATGAAGGCTGGCCACAGTCAACCGGTGCTATCTCCAGTCCCACACCTCCCCTGAATCTTCATGGACACGCCACAGCACATGGCTTTGGATTAAGTCACGGACACAGCTGCAATCACGGTCATAGTCATGGTTGACAAGTGGTGGCTATTTATATGACTTCTTCACAACATTCCAGCCATAACGATAAGCCTTATTCTATCTGTACTACTGTATTTTTCACTGATGCACATCAGTGAGCTCTGCCTGCATGTGTAATGACATTTTTCTGAGTGTTTAAATATTATGGGTGACTTTTATACATTTAAAAAAGTATTTTAAAAAAAATGCTATTAAACATGTAAATCTCTTTAAAAACTCATACTTTGAACAGTAAGCTGCATGTGGTGCAGAAAGGCAGCAAACATCCTGTTCTACATCCAGCCCTGGAGCAGGACCACAGATTAAAAAAACAAAAAACAAAAAAAAACAGCGACTCTGCATTTGGTGTTTTTTGTGCTGTTGTGTTACACTAAAACCCTCTTTTACCAACAATTTCTAAATATACTCAGGTATTTGTATGGCTGCAGCAGCAGTAGGAACATATACCGAACACTTGCAACTATTTCAGTTTACAATACTTTTCTTGGCTGAGCTTGGTGTCAAAGGAATATAACTAGGTTGGTATGCTGACGGTATACAGTAAACTAGGTCTTATTGGGTATTTGCCTGAAGGAGATAAAGGATCCTGATCTGAATTTTATGTTCTCACATTGGTTGGGGAATTTTAACTGTTATTTTTACATTGTAACAGGCTGTTTTCTATCTAACTGACACATGTACCTTTAAAGCAAACTTTTATTTCAGACTGGCAAAATGTGTTTCTTTTCCACAACTAAGCCAACCTCAGCTGTCATCAAGACAGTGAATACTGTCATTTAGTTGCATTTACATCATGGTAATATTGTAGCACACAAAAGACAGTTGACGTACATTTTGAATACAGCCTTGCAGGTCAGCAAACTCAAATGCACGCATGTTGAGCACTTAACAGAAGTAAAATCTAGCTTAAATGTTTTTTGTAACTTTCATTTTGTGCTAGTGAGGATAAAGTCAATGTCAAAGCACAGAGACGTTACTCATCAAGCAATTTGGTTTTACTGACACTTGCAAAGATATACTGATCAAAATCTCAAACAGCTTCTGAGAAAGTGGTCACTGGATGCCTGTTTCCTGCCGTATCTGTGATGCCACAGTACAAATTACATCATCAGTTCAAATGAGGACTCATTCTTCCCAAGCATCTCCGTAGATGTTCTTCTTTACTGCAACATAAAAGAAAAACAGAAGAAGAAAGTTTTAAACAGATTAACATCATCTCAATATCCCCCTCTGTACTTTTCCCCATAACCACCATGTGTTACGCAAATCTGCAGCAGGAGCTTACCCATTTTCTTTGGTCTCTCTTGCTCCCTTTCAGGCTGCGGTTTGAGCGGTGTGTCAGCCTTCTGAGTGAGCATGACCTCATAGTTCTCTCTGTTTTTGAGCCTCAGGTCCTCATAGAGGATACCTTTCTTCCTGGGCTCCTCCTCATCCACATATGACTGGGCTGAAGGCAGCATGGAAAAGGAAAGAGGCAAAAAAAAAAAAAAGGCTCATCTCTGCTGGACGATTTGGTGAAATGTTAGGATTAAAATCAGCTCAATTTGTCACCATCAGAGTGAACACAGCTAATTCTTTGATAAATTTGCAACTTATGTTAATTTAAAGAAGATTCAAACTATTTGCATCTCCACATCTATATTTAAAAAGTGACACCTAGTTAACTTTACTCGATTTTTATTACAAAATTTCTGATCAATTGTATGTCACTTTATACAACCGTTTATCAAAAGCATAACTGGTTGTGCTCCTAGTATCACTACTGCTCAGCATGGGTTGAAAAGTATTGGCTATTGCTACTGGCTTGAAACTTTAAAACTTGAAACTTCTGGCTGTTTTGCCAGAGAGAGGAAGGCTGGGTAGTCGTAATTTTTGTTGACCGCCACACTTGATTGACTTACGCTAAAGTGTCTTTATTTTTTGACAAGTGTACCATACTGTGAAATGCCTGTGAATCACCATTCATGTTTAATAAAGAGAGAGAAACGTATCAGACTTGTGCATTATTTAGGAAGCGACAGCGCGTCATACAATTAGACAGAACCCATACTCGGCCTCTCTAGCTACTGTGGAAGTCACTACAGCTTCTATCACCTATATGACTCTTTAACAAATACAGTAATCACAGTAGTCAGTGGCCTATAGTTGGTTTAGAGTAAGTGGTCAAGAGCTGTTGTCTTTGTGAGTAGCTCATACAGTGTCCCTGCATGTTACCTGGAGCACTGAAGTCATCTGCTCTGCCCATTTGTGCAGGTGGCTCTGGATTGTAGCCATATCCATAATCTCTGCTTTGGGTGGACGTGTTGCTCGGGGCTTCTGCAGGCTGAAACATGGTCTCAAATGACGGGGTGTCTGGGTCACTCAGCTCAGACTGAGCACCTGTGGAACTGGGAAGGAGAATAAAAAATGGTCAAAGGACTGTTGCTGTCAGTTGAGAGGAGAACGTAATCGAAAATGCTGTATGTTACGCACTATTGTGGAGGTACTACTGTCCTCTGTCTGAGGATCTCTCCTAGAGGGGAGTTGTCCAGTTTCATGAACTTCTCCTGGCATGTCTTCATGTACGACACTTTGCCTGCCAAGTAGCCACAGAAGCCAGCGACTATGGGGTCAAACACAAATGAATTATTTACAAGAAGAAATACAAAGAGGATTTAGCCAAATGAACAATCCTGAATTCATACACTGCTCAAAAAAATAAAGGGAACACTAAAATAACACATCCTAGATCTCAATGAATGAAATATTCCAGTTGAAAATCTTTATTCATTACATAGTGGAATGCATTGAGAACAAAGTAACAAAAATGATCAATGTAAATCAAAATTATTATCCTATGGAGGATGGCTTTGGAATCATACTCAAAATAAAATTGGAATATCACATTACAGGCTGATCCAATTTCAGTGGAAATTCCTCAAGACAAGTCAAAATGAGGCTCAGTCATGTGTGTAGCCTCCACGTGCCTGTATGACCTCCCTACAACACCTGGGCATGATCCTGGTGAGGCAGGATGCTCTCCTGAGGGTTCTCCTCCCAGACCTGGATTCAAGCATCAGTCAACTCCTGGAGAGTCTATGGTCCAACCTGGCATTGGTGGATGGAACGAGACATGATGTCCCAGATGTGCTCAATTGGATTCAGGTCTGGGCAACGGGCAGGCCAGTCCATAGCATCAGTGCCTTCATCATGCAGGAACTGCTGACACACTTCAGCCACATGAGCCCTTGCATTGTTATGCATCAGAAGGAACCCAGGGCCCATTGCACCAGTATTTGGTCTCACAGTGGGTCTGACGATCTCATCCCGGTACCTAATGGCAGTCAGGGTACCTCTGGCTAGCCCATGGAGGGCTGTGCAGCCCTCCAAAGAAATGCCTCCCCACACCATTACTGACCCACCGCCAAACCCAGTCATGCTGGAGGATGCTGCAGGCAGCAGAATGTTCTCCACAGCGTCTCCAGACTGTCATGTCTGTTAATTGTGCTCAGTGTGAGCCTGCTCTCATCTGCCAATCTTGGTGTTCTCTGGCAAATCCCCATCACCTTGCATGGTATTGAGCTGTAAGCACAAGCCCCACTTGTGGACATCGAGCCCTCATATAACCCTCATGGAGTCTGTTTCTGACAAATTGAGCAGAAACATGCATATTAGTGGCCTGCTGAAGGTCATTCTGCAGGGTTCTGGCAGTGCTCCTCCTATTCCTCCTTGCACAAAGGAGGAGGTAGCGGCCCTGGTGCTGGGTTGTTGCCCTCCTATGGCCCACTCCACATGTACTGGTGTACTGGCCTGTCTCCTGGTATCTCCTCCAGGCTCTGGACACTGTGCTGAGAGGCACAGCAAACCTTCTTCCCACAGCTTGCATGGATGTGCCATCCTGGATGGACTGCACTACCTGAGCAACTTCTGTGAGTTGTAGACACCGCCTAGGGTTAGAGCACTGACAAAATGCAAAAGTGACCAAAACATCAGCCAGTAAGGATGAGAACAGAGAAATGGTCTGTGGTCACCACCTGCAGAACCACTCCTTTATAGGGGTTGTCCTGCTAATTGCCTCTCATTTCCACTTGTTGTCTGTTCCATTTGCAGCAGGTGAAACTGATTCACAATAAGTGTTGTTTCCCAATGAGACAGGTTGATTTCAAGTGTGATTGACTTTAAGTTACATTGTGTTGTTTAGGTGTTCCTTTTATTTTTCTGAGCAGTGTATATTCACAGCTATTCCGTAAAAAACGTAATGGGTACACTTGGTTCAAACCAATGCTGTATAATAATAGTCCTGCACTATATCCAACTTTAATGGAGATTATAATGTGAAAGATTTACTGAAATGGATTGAGAGGTTTTGTTTCTTCATAAAGGGTTCATTTAAAGGTTGTGACGTGTTTCCAATATTTTGTCTATCTATTATTATGAGGTAACTGTGTGTGTTATTTCCCAGAGTTCATGAACTTACAGGCCACTTTGGGTAGAGATCCAAACCTTGGAGATGCAGACAGGACCCCTACAAATTGCAACAGATCTTTGTCAGTTTGAAGTTCAATATTTAGCTCTGTTCATGCATTTGCATACTTGTTCATTCCTCTACATTGAGTATAGTGTTACCTCTGACAACTAGGGCTTGAGTGACAGCCATGCTGACCAAAGCGAAGGGCATAGCTATGAAGGAAGCACATGGACATCACACTGAATCTTTCCACCCTTTAGTTTTGGATTTAACCTTAAACATCAAGCTGAGTTGTATGTGCAAGACAGAAACTTACACCTGTAAACAAGGCTATCCTGGTTGCACTCTCTCATCACTTTCCTCTCCTCATCTGTGGGGATGTAGTCCAGGCTCAGAGGTGACTGTAGGTTAACACACAAACCATGCTTTAAAGTCAATTCCCTTGGCGAACTGGCACTGGACATTTTAACGACTCACACAGACAGTGCCACCTTGAAAGTAATAAGATTAAAACAGCGGACAACAGAGCGCGTGGTTTCTGAATGAGACTGTTTGCTAACGCTAGCTAACACGTTAGCATCTCAGAAAAAGCGACGTGTTTTACCTGCGCTCCTCTTCGCTGCTGTTCGTCCGTGAAACCTGTAGTGGTGGACGACATATTCACTGAAATGCCCAAACTTACGGAGTCTTCAAGGCATGTAAATTAAGAACGTGTGAGCCACTCGCCAGACTGATTTCTTTAGTGTTTGGTACAATGTCATTGCTTCGTCTAGCACTGACATAACCCGGAAGTTAAAAAAAAGTTGTACGTACCTTAAAATAAGAGAGAAAAATTTGGCTTTCATTATTGCTGCTCGGTTATATTTTTAAAAAAATTATCGCAGGCAAATGATTTTATTAATATTATTTTGCCGCTTACATAGTGGAGAAAAAAAAAGTTGGAAATTGCTGTGAATTTGTGAAGGTATTAAAAAAATAAACCCAACTAACTCCCTCTAGTGGTCTAGCATTCGGGTGAAACTCGTTTTAGTTCAGGAGGCACATTCAACCTTGTTTGACCTCAAGTGAGCCGGACCAGTAAAATAATAGCATAATAACCTACAAATAACGACAACTCAAAAATGTTCCATTTGTTAGTCCAATAAAATGTACAATTGCATTCTGAAAATGTCCTCATCTTTTTTTTTTTTTTGAAAACAAAACATTATGAACCTGAAATTTCTTAAGAACAATAAGTGCAATTTCAACAATATTATCCCTCAGTTTATCATTTACACATGTGCATTACAACTTATAGATCCCAAAGTATCTGCAAAGGCACAAAACATTTAGTCAAAGATATCTGGAACTTAACAACATAATATTTTACCTTATGACCAAAACAACTTTTTAAGATTGGAATTATTCCAAATATACATTCATTTCCACACCTGTATAGTAATTCTGACCACCTGAACTGACACACCACACTGTCTCTGTAATTTTTACACTTTGGAAAGTCTGCAGGCCAGATTGGACCCTCTGGTAGGCCGGATTTGACACTTCTGCTATAAACTGACAAAATTAGTGATAGTAATCAGCTGTAATATGTGTAACATCATTTTATACTATACAACATTATGACGCTGTATAATTATTATGGTGTCACAAATCACAAAATATTGCACACATTTATTATATTATTCTGACTAATGTAGTTATTACTTGATTTATGTATCTACACTGTAAAACATCATAAAGAAATTTAATCAAATCATCTTGTCTTTTCTAGTTGACCTAATGTAAATATATGAGTTTTGTTCATTTGTAGTTAATTGACTTTCAAAAGTCTTGTTTAATTTTTCAGATCTGAAATAATCACTTCTTATATCTTGAGGTATTTCGACTTAAAACTGTGTGTTGAATTAACAGCTGAGAGTTTGTTAAACTCAATAAATGAAGAAACAAAACTGGCATATAAGCAAAGTTCCCAGAATGCATTTCTAGACAAGCAAAACGACATGTATCAGAGACCCTGTATGTCTCTAATACATGTTATAATATTATTTATTTATTTATTTATTCATTCATTCATTCATTCATTCATTCATTGCATAACAATCCGAACAGGTCTTACTATGATAAAGGTCAGTATTAAATTCAGTCCTTACACCTGTAGACTTTAAATTCACCTCACTGTACCTCGGAGCAGTGCCACAGTTTGTTTTTGTACTGACTTTGGTCAAAGAAGGCTTCAGTAGCTGAAGTTGGTGGTTCACAATGTTTAATGAATAATGAAAATGTGCAAACATTTAATATCTGAAAGCAAATCTGTTACTTATGGAAGCGCTAAACTGCCACTCCTAAAAAACAAAAAAAGACAGATCCGTTTTTCGTTATAGCGGGAAGTTTCTCGTTATAACGACATATCACGTTTTAACAACAAACTAACTTATCACGTTACAATGACATACGTTTTTGTCTCATATAACGAGATACGTTCACGTTAAAACGAGATACGTATTTATCTCATTATAACGTGACAAGGTTTCACGTTGGTCTCGGCGGTGGAGGACTCCTGTGCTCTGGTTGTGAACTGGCATTTGGCCGTTGCAGTAGCAGCTGGCAAAATATGGCAGCCCTGAGCGATGCCCCACTGACATTCGCGTTCCGCGTAGTCAGCGGCGTCTTGCTCACAGTTGATTCGATTTACGGACTCAGACTTCGGCTCGCTCCTCTCGACTGCACCCAACCAGAGACATTTCACTTAGGGACCGTCAAGGAATTTCTGAACTAAGAACTCTTGAAAAATAAAAACTAATAAATTTTCTATTTTGTGACCTCGTGACTAAAAACCAGTGTGGACATATTCGACTGCACTGGACAGATGAGACACACCAATTTGTTTTCAATTTTAGCCTTTGTAATATTTTTTATGAATTATTATACTCATAAATTTGGAAAATTCTTCAATAGCCTCTAGGTCATGTGACCCACTGACTTCAGATTAGTGTCAGAGTAGGTCGGAGTGAATCTGAGAGCATTTCCACGCAGCCCGACTGCCTCCGTGCCTCCCGGTGGCCCTGCATGCCCTTCACGGCCCCAGGCGGCCGGCTAGACAGCTCCCGTCAGGGCCCGCCATTGTGTTATTGTCCGACGGAGCGCAGCGGAGCGAGCTGTTGGACCGACTCTGAGAGCTTTTCCACGCAGCAGGGCTGCCTCCGTGCCTCCCAGCGTACCTGTCTGCCCCTCGCGACCCCAGATGGCTGGCTAGTCAAGTCCTGTCAGGGCCCGCCACTGTGTGTTGATACGACGGAGCACAGCAGAGCGCAGAGGAGCGCGCCGAGGCAGCGCACAGCATGTCGGAGTAAAAGTGAGGCTATATCCACGCAGCCAGACTGCCTCTGTGCCTCCCCACGTTCCTGCCTGCTCCGCGCGGCCCCAGGTGGCCGTCTGGTCCCGTACTGTCAGGACCTGACCAGCCGGCCGCCTGGGGCCTCACGGGACAGGCAGGGAGGCACGGAGGCACAGAGGCACTAGGGCTGCCTGGAAATGCTCTCAGATTCACTCCGACCTGCTGCGCGCCGCAGCGGCGAGCTCCGCTGCGCTTCGTTAGATCACAACTCAATGGCGGGGCTGACAGTACCTGACCAGACGGCCACCTGGGTCCGCGCGGACAAGGCAGGAACGCGGGGAAGCACAGAGGTAGTCTGGCTGCGTGGATTTGGCCTCACATTCACTCCGACCTGCTGTGCGCTGCCTCGGCGCGCTCCTCTGCGCTCCGCTTTGCTCCGTCTTAACAACACACAGTGGCGGGGCACTGACAGGACTGGACTAGCCAGCCGTCTGGGGTCCCGAAGGAAAGACAGGTCTGCTGGGAGGCACGTAGGCAGCCCTGCTGCGTGGAAATGCTCTCAGAGTCGGTCCGACGCTCTACATGTGGCACCGGCGCGCTCCACTGCGCTCCATCGGACAATGACACAATGGCGGGCCCAGACAGGACCTGTTTAGCGGGCCGCCTGGGGCCGTGCGGGACATGCAGGTACACCGGGAGGCACGGGGGCAGTCGGGCTGCGTGGAAATGCTCTCAGTTACACTCCGACCTGCTGCGCGCAGCTACGGCGCGCTCCTTTGTGTTCCGTTAGATCACAAATCAACGGCGGGCCCTGACAGTACCTGACCAGACGGCCGCCTGGGTCCGCGCGGAGCAGGCAGGAACGCGGGGAGGCACAAAGGCAGTCTGACTGCGTGGATTTGGCCTAACTTTCACTCTGACCTGCTGTGCGCCTCCTCGGCGCGCTCCTCTGCGCTCCGCTGTGCTCCGTCGTAACAACACACAGTGGCGGGCACTGCCAGGACTTGACTAGCCAGCCGTCTGGGGTCGCGAGGGTCAGACAGGTACGCTGGGAGGCACGGAGGCAGCCCTGCTGCGTAGAAATGCTGTCAGAGTCGGTCCGACCTGCTATGCGCGGCAACGGCGCGCTCCGTTGCGCTCCGTCGGAAAATAACACAATGGCGGGCCCTGACAGGACATGTCTAGCCGGCCTCCTGGGGCACTGCGGTGTATGCAGGGACACCGGGAGGCACGGAGGAAGTCGGGCTGCTTGGACATGCCGTCAGTTTCACTCCGACCTGCTGCGTGCCGCAGCGGCGCTCCGTTAGGTCACAAATCAACGGCGGGCCACTGACAGTACCTGACCAGAAGGCCGCCTGGGTCGCGAGTGGTATGCAGAGACGCGTGGAGGCACGGAGGCAGTCCGGCTGCCTGGAAATGCTCTCAATTTCACTCCGACCTGCTGAGCTACGCTGAACTCCGTCGACCAAAAAAAAAACACAACTGCTGGACATGACAAGGACCTGACCAGCCGGCCGCCTAGGGCCGCACCGGGTTGGCAGGGTCGCTGGGAGGGACGGGGAAGCCCTGCTGCGTGGACATGCCCTCAGAGTCGGTCCGACCTGCGACTTGTGGCAACGGAGCGCTCCGCTGCGCTCCGTCGGACAATAACACAATGTCGGGCAGTGACGGGACCTGTGTAGCCGGCCGCCTGGAGCCGTGCGGGGCATGCACGGAGGCTGGGAGGCACAGACGCAGTCAGACTGGGTGGGATTGCTCTCAGATTCACTCCGACCTGCCATGCGCCGCAGCAGCACCCTCCGCTGCGCTCCGTCGGACAA